CAGCAGGAAGAGAGAAAAAGACTGTAGTCAAGCTCTAGAAACTTATTTTTGGACTGCTAAGTACTACTAATAATGGAAAAAAAAATCTGGATTGCAGAGGCAGAGTTTTATATACTCAAAAATCTATCTGCTTGGATGGGTCATACTTCTCTGAAAAAATTTGCTCTCAGATTCTCATCTGTCAGTAGCCCATAATTAACTGTGCTTTTTTTCTGTATCCCTTTCACAGAACAAATGAAGCAATCCTTCTGGCACTCTATGAAGCTGTTCACTTAAACAGAAACTTCATCACAGTTCTGGCACAGGTGAGCTTCAGTGCAGTGTTTGCCCTTTCCTTCATAGTGGGTGTCTTCAAGATTAAAAAAACAAAACACCCCACCCCAGAACTGCATAAAAGATATCAATTCACTTCCTCTTAAAGGGTACTTGTCATAGGTGTAGATGGGAGTAAAAGATCAAAAGCAGCCAAGCCCTGGGCTTATTATGCATTAAGAAATGCTTTCTGCTTTGCCAGAGGGGAGGGGGAAAAATATTTGAGGGCACAGCTCATGTTAGAGCAATTTTTCCCCCTATGTGGGAAGGGCTGCATGGAGTTCCTTCTCTGCCCTACTAATATTGCCTTTAGGTAGGATGTAGTGAGTCGAGTGGATAAGGGTAAGATTGCTGCAGCTGTTGGAGTAATTCGTGCCCATGATAAGTTAGGGCTTAGAGAAAAAAGCTGATCCGGCTCTAGGCTGGATGAATTGTCCTGTCTGGAAGCACACAGATTGCATGTTGTTTTTTGTGTGGGTATCCTTGGCTTAGGGAGTAACTGACACATGTGGGTGGTTGTTCCAAATACTGTTTAGTATCCAAACTTCCTTGGGAGAGCGTAACCCTTCTCGCTTGGGAGACTGTCTGCTGCCAGAACAGAGCGCTCCTGCTTGTGCTGTTTTAAGAGAGAAAAGAAAGAACAGTGATAGCATTCTGAGAAGCAGTGGATGATGCTTCGTACATCTGATCAGAAAGCTCTGGACGCTTCTCTGGGCACTGTGTGAATTTCCAAAGTCAGCAGTCTCTGGGAGACAGGTGATAATGAGTGTCTGATCTGACAGTTGTACTGTGGCTGGTTGAAGGGGCAGCTAGATGGGCGTTGGGAAACATCCAGGTTTAGGCTGTTTAATTTTGGTTTACAAGTACTGCTGGTAGTCTGTGAGGGAAAAATAACATCAAAACAGCTATTACCTTTCCCGAGGGACTTGAGCTCCTCAGAATGGAGCCATATGTAGTTAGTTAGACACTTGGCATGACTGAGGGAGTAGAGGCCTTTGGGGAAGGCAGAAAGAACTCCTGAAAGTAGTGGTGACGAAGGAAGTCTGAGTGGATCTACTGCCTCTGAAGAAACTTTGTTTCATGGGTGGTTAATTTGCTGGAGTTATCTGCCTCCCTTTTGCCCAGGTTATTCATTCTTACTTCTTGTGAGAAATTTCTGCTTTCAGTTCTGTCTAATACCAAGTCAGGCCTTCACGTGGTCAAGATCTCCCTGAGGGAGGAGAGGGGGATAGGAAATGAGCAACTGGAATAAGGCCTCTTAAAATAATGATAAAAAGATGAAACAGTTGTTTGTGAAACTGGTAGCTGAAGTGGCCACCATTCAGTGGGCTTAACTGGAATGGAGGTCTGATGAAGGATTACACATAATCTACACAAGAACATCACTTGAGAGGGCAAGGTAGGTCGTGCTGTCCTTCAAGAAAATGTTATAAAAGCTGAGAAATGTTCATGTCTAAGTTATGTCCATTGCTGAACCAAAGACTGTGTGAACGTCTACCTGCTGGTCCATGGGCAAATAGGAAGAATAGGGATACAGTTGCATTGATGCCTGAAGTGTTGAGGTTTGGGTATACTTACCAGCTTGTTGGTCCTTGATTTTTGCTGCTAGGTGGCACTATTCTCTCTCAACTGATAGCTAATGTTTAAGGAGGAGGAAGGTAAACACCTTAGTAAAACCTATGGAAGCAAACTTCTTTGTATGTAAGATTTTTTTTTTCAATGGAAAACTGTGTTTCAAAGTTGTTAACTGTGCTGATTTTAAATTATGTTCAAATTGTAGTCTGTATGTCTTCTCATAAAATATATGAATTTATAGTTCATAAAAATGAACAAAGATTCAAAGATAATATGGCTTTAGAAAATCCCTTGGAACTAACATAAAATCAGCAGCTCTATTATCCCTTTCTTTTGAAGTTATGATAATATATTAAGGCACTTTGAGGATGATACACTTATGTAAATCTTACCCTATGAAATGGACGCTCTGCTTGACAGCCAAACTTAAAATAGCATGGCAGACTACCTACAGTCTCACTAGTCCGGATAGATCCGGAAGCTTACAAAGAGTAAAGTCAAAGCAGTAATTAGGCAACTACTAGCAAAGATGAAATGGGGAGAGTAACTGATGGAAGCAGAGAGATTCGATAATGATAGTGGTGTTTTTGTGCTTTTCTCCTGTGGTGCCTGGACTTTACAGCAAGGCAGGGAAGAAATAAACTGCGATCGTCTTTAAATATGAGCAGGTGGATGGCTGAGAGAGGAAAGGGGATCTAATTTTAAAAAGAGAAATAAAAGAATCACTGAGGAAGACTTTTCATGTACACCCTTGGGTTGTTGTGGGGGAACCAAAAGCTGTAAGCAGTGTAGGTTTCTGCACGTCTTCCCCTACTCTAGACTGGGGAAGGGCTTTAACTTTGTACTGGGGACAGCCACCACTTTATGGTGTATATATATTTTACTGGGTAAGGAGATGGATGTACAGTTTAATTGGAGGTGTCCAAGGTCAGGAAGCATAGCCTTGCTTTTTAGAAGAGGTTAAAGTTTCTTGATTTCATTAGTCACATCAGTTGTGTGAGAGTCTGAAACGGAGCAAGTAGCGATCTATATGGCTAGTGCAGAGAAAAGCTATTGACCTGCTTATGGGCCTTTGTTTTCTGCTAGAGCCATCCTGAAATGGGGCTGATGACAACACCAACAAGCCCAGTTCCAACAACACCTGTCACTCCACTTGGAACCACCCCACCTTCCTCAGATGGTGAGAAATGTAATGTTCTTCTGGGGGCAAACTTTTAAAAGTAACTATAAGTAGCAAAGCACTTTCTCCAGATGGCAACTAATGCAGTCCAGCAGGAGCAGATGTAACCTGTTTTTCTCTTCCTGGAGAGACTACCCTATTAAACATGAACAAAAGACAAAAGGTATTGTTTTACTTTTTATTTAGCTATTTAAAAGATGAATTGTCTAGTTCCTCTTTTCCTTTGTGTATTGGTCAGTGAAATTGGGCTGATTTTTCCTTCTGAAAACAGTACAGTCCCAGTATCCATATGAAGATGCACTGAGCCCATTAGTTACTGTGTTATGTAGTCTTTTACTTATGAATGTTTCTAGCGTCAGTTGTCTTGTTCTTTACCTAGGAGTATGTGTTGCTGGAACAGATATACAGAGAATCACAGTAGATTCATGCTTGTCATTAATGCACTTTTCCCTAGCTTTGAATTAATTGGGATTTACATCTAACCTGGGGGTTGAGGTGTTCCTCCCTCTCTCTGCCTCTTTCTCTGATAGGCTTTATAAATGGCTGCTTGCACTGAGATATTTCTTCTAAACGAGATATGCTAGGTGTCCACATAAATACACACTGAGGTCATCTAAAATAAAACCGTGCTTGTTTAAGGTAGGGTAGATATGGCCCAAATTAAGAGAAGAAATCTAAATGGTGGTTGTCATGTACTTCAGTGACATAATCTAGATCTGGAGAAAGTGTTTAGCAAAAGAATGGAGTCAGATTGGATAGAGCAGAGTTTGGAAATATTTCTGGGGAAAAGCAGCCTGGGTTACCCAGTAATATCTGATATTCAGGTCACTTGATATCCTAGTTAAAAATGATCCTCCTTGTAGATGAATTCTATCTGGTTACCATGGATATCAAAAGCTTCAGTTAAAAAAACAAAAAAACAAACAAAAAAAGACCCCATGTCTCAACTCTCCCTGTGTATGTTCCATAAAATGTATGGGGACATGCATTCTGTGGGCTTCTGTTCAAAGTGTTCGTTACAAATATATCCACCCACACGCTTTGTTATACAACTGACAGAGTTTGTGCTTACCTACATCTACAGCTTGGGCACGCGCGTGTTCTCTTGCGCGCGCTCGCTCTCTCTTTTAGTTTATCAAAAAACAAAAGCAAAACAAAAAAGCTGTTGTGCTTTCAGCAGAGGCAGTGATGTCGTGAAGCTTTGCTTGAGGCATCTTGCTGCTTGTAAGGTTATTAAGTTTAAGGAGGGGAGCTGTTCTTAATGTGCAGCAATTACTTTGGGAAGCATTCTTCATTTCTATTTGCTGTCAGCTTGCTGATCCCTCCTCTTTGATTTTTTTCTGAGGACCTTGGCTTGGTTTAATTTGAGCAGTGCTTCTTTAGTACTGCTGTTATTTTAAATGTATGTCAGAATCTTTCTTGTTCTCTAAGGTCTTGCAACTCAGCTGTAAAATTTGCCTATGGCTGAGCATTAGCAAGAAGCATTTCAGCTTTGGAGAAAAGATTGCTTTCTTCTTTTCATGCATTTAAAAAAAAAAACGTAGTTGAGCTATTTTCAAGTTACAGGAACATGTAGAAATCCATCTATGGGTTTCAGGCGCTCTTTTATATTCGTTGGTTTTAAAAATGTGTTTGTGTTCTGGTTTGAAACTGGCTGGTGGCCTATAATCTCAATTAAGGTCTTTTAAAGTTTCAAAATGTTTATATTAAAGTCTGTAGTATGAACGAGGATAAGCAGTGATGTGTTCTTCGGAGTGTGCGGTGTGTGTTTTATTTTTTATTTTTTTTAAAGTAAGCCTTTTGCTGGAAACTGTTGATCCATAATATGTAAATCAAGTATGCTTGTCATCATAGTATCTAAATGTCAGTTTACTTACTGTTGTTAAATATTCATTCAGTGCGTTCATTGTAACAGCTCTGGAAGGACCCACTAGGGATATAAATACATTTTTCAGACTTCTAGCTAAATCTTTAGCTATTCATAATATTGGGGGGTGGAAAAAGCTTCTAGTCTCCTTGCGCAGACTTTGCCAACAGGCTGGGCATCATGTTAGCAACATGTCAGAAGCCCCAGAGCTTCAAGAGTGGATGCACTAAAACAGCTCATGCTTGCGGATGTGCAGCCTTCGGAAGCTAAAAGCTCCATCGTTTCTTTAATGCAATTCAAACAGTTAAGTTACACTGATCTATTTGGCCTGTTGTTTCCAAGGGCTACAATTTTGTATTCGAGGTGATCATAAAATCCTGAGCTCCATAAGAACCTGTACTGTCCTCTAGGCCTTTCTACCTGTCAGCCACAACCCTCCCCTTTCCTTAAAATTTACCCATACCATGATGTTGTATGGTTTAAAACTGTTTTTTAAAGAGAAATGACAGAAGATGATAAACTAGCAGGAATCTGGATTTCTGAGTTGGGGCTGAAACTCAACAATAGTCTCCCAGTGCAGAGTATTGACCGTGTATGGAGCGAGTGCTGTGGCGCTAAGTCATAGGAGGTTAGAAGCAACGTGGCCCACAACTGCAAGCAGTGCTCGGTTTTAAGATTCCTGGGTTTTCCAGACGGTTCTTCTCCTTCATCCTTCTGTCCTGTACTAGCCCCAGTTCCGAAGGTAATAAACCTTAGGTATGAGATTTAGAGCTTGAATCATGAAAGGCATTCTACTTGTTAAGGTGTATCACTTGCAACCAAGATACGCTTCTCCAAGATACAGTTGCATACAAGATCAAATCACTTCCCTTCCAGCTGCAGAATGTTATTCTCAACATGTGTCCTTATAGTGGCCTGCAGATCTGTCCCTGGTGTAAAGGGAGCCCTATCTTAGGTACCTGTCTCTTTACAGCTTGGGAAGAGAGAGGTCCTTCAGGCAGTCAAGGACCTCATCGCTCAAGTCACCTATGACTTCCCACATGTGAAAACCTGAGTTTGCCAAGAGTTCCCAGGCAGCCAAAGTAGTAGCGTCACATTCATGGTAGGAGAGGAGCACAACTGGAAAAGATCCCCTGGCTCCTCAAATCCGGTGCTTTGTGCTTGCATGCATATTGTTGTAGAATCTCTTAAATTTGTCAAGCTTTGTCTTAAGATTTGTTGGATTTGTCTCCCAATAATTCCTCTTGGGAGGCAGTTCCAGTGTCTCGCTCTTCAGTTAGAAATCGTCAACTTTGTGATGTGAAGTTCTCGGCATACAGTTTGTACCTTTTCATCACTATTTCTCTGGAGCAGAAATAGCTCTTTTTCCTGTCTAGGGTTACTCCCCTTTGTATTTTGCTGTCTCATAAGAAAGGTACTCTATTGCTCTGATCAGCCTACTAGCCTTTCCTCTCACCTTTTCCAGTATGAGGCCATCCTCTTTGAACATGAGATCACTGTGATTATAGACAGTGTGCTAGATGAGGTTTCACCAGTACCCTGTGCTGGGCATTACTGTGTCCCTGTCTCTGCCAGAAATTCATTTCTTTGTACATTGCATGACCACGTTTAGTCTTTCCAGTGCTTTGCATTGGTAGCTTATAGTTATCTTGTGATCTAGTGGTGTACCAGTTTCACACTGGTCCCTTTCCAGCTGATGAGCTCTCAGCTTGCAGTGGAACTAAATCCCTGACTACCTGACCCTGCACTGTTGAATTTCATCCTGTTTGTTATCTAGTCCTTGGTTTTATCCAGCTCTTTGTGTGCAGCCTGATATTCTTCTGTGTCTGCACATCCCCACTTTCTGCTATCAGCAGATTGATTAGCAAACTACTCTTTTCTTATGCCCAGGTAATTTACAAAAAAGACGACTGTTCCCTAAACTGACACCTAATTAACTCCAGTAGTAACTGGAGTAGTAACTTCTTCCTAGACTAATAATTTCTCCAATTGTTTCAGCTTTGCCAGATCTTTGATGTACTTTAAGTTTCTGTATTGGTCCCCAGCTATTGGCTTCATTCTTCATTTTTCATACAGAACTGCATCAAATGCTTTAGTGAAGTCTTGCTTGACTAGATCCATCTTTTTTTTGTTTGTTTTTTTCTGATAATTTATCTTCCCAAAAGAGATACCAGATTTATCTGGCAGGCTCTATCTCTTGTAAATGCATGATGCATTTCTTCCCATTTACTGGTTTTCCCTGTCAGTATTTCTTGTAAAGCCTTGCTTAATGGAAAGGCTGAGAACAGTCCTTGCGGACAGCTGAGGCTCAGTCGTCAGTAGAGACGTGGTAGTCACATGATAGAGGTTTGACAGCTGCTAGCCTCAGTGCTTAAGAGAGTATTTGTGGAGTGAACAGGAGGAGCCTTGCACAATTAGCTGAGTAAATGAGATAGCTCCTTGTAAAGTCTAAGGAGGGTGATGTCCAGTGTTAAGGTATCAAAAGTATGGCTGGTGGTAACAAGGAGTATATCCTAAAGAAAAACCAGTGAGCTGCTGGCCTGATGCACATATGGAAAGTATACTTTTGCTCCCTGCTGTGATGTGATTTCACTAGTACAAGCTGTTACTGCTTCTGCTTCGTGTTCTATAAAGCTGCTGTTTCTAATTCTCTGTTCTGGGAAAAATGGGTGACTTTTTTTTTTTAAAAAAAAAAAAAAAAAACTTTATGGGATGATCTTCAGCAAGCCACTTTGGTCATGCAATAATTGTTACATTCCTGTCTTCTATTCTGCTTCTGCAGGAGAGGCTAGTTGTTCTCTTACCTCTGGCAGGGAGGAGGGGAATTGCTGTGTACCTTTCAGAACTGAAATTCCAGAATTACTGAAACTCTTCAGGGTCTTTGCTGGGGATGCTTCTTCCCGCCCTGGGAATGGTGTGCACATTAGCTACACTGCTTATAGGAGTTAGTCATGTGTTGGTGAGACTCTCTTGAGCTTCCTACATTGGGAATGCTGATGACTGCTAAAACAGGAGGCTGATCTCCTGGGGAATGGAGGGCAGGGAAAGGCAGCTGTCCTTCTGCTAGATACCCCAACATGTACTTAGAGCAGGAAGAGTGGTCTGTGGGTAGAGTGATACCAATCTTTAAGACAAAATCTTTCCTCTTGAAGGAAGAGGAGCTCACGTGACCCTAAAGATAAGTTAATTCTAGCCCAGCCCTGTGAATCTGTCACTTAATTTTTTGTATAGTTATTCTCTCTTGTATTTGGGGAGGGTAAACGTGTCTTATCTGCTTTGTTCCAGTTATAAGCTCTGCAGAGCTGCCTTTGGATGCTGATGTACAAACCAGCAACCTGCTGATAACCTTCTTGAAGTACAGCTCAATTGTGATGCAGGACACAAAAGGTAACTAAACTCTGTCGATGCAGCTGTGGATGCAGCAAGCAGTGCTTCCTGAAATTGGAGGAGCATGGGAATGCACCTAGTGACTCCAAAAATAAAACTAACTGGAGTCCCTTCTAGAGGACTGAAGGTTCCACCTTTTGAGAAAATGAAATGTTTTCTTATCATCAAACAACAATTATACGGGACTGGGAGAGAACTAATGCTGGCAGGAAAGAAGTCAAGTATGGAAAGAATGCAGTAACAATAGTACATAATAACGAAGGGAGCCTTAGCCTGTCTCTATGCAGGTAGTGTGAGCATACCTGATTCCAAACCCTCTGTCAGAGGGGGAAACTGAAGTACTGGAGAGCTGTATTTTTAAGAACACTTAGAGGCCGACATAAGAGGCAGAGCTCAGCATAGGAGGGGACGTTTCCTTTGCCCTTCAGTAGTTCCTGGTTGAACAAGCATCTCTTTAATAAAGATAGTGGCTGTGATTTGCATTATATTGGCAGTAATTTGCTTGATGAATTGTTACCACACTGTGCTTTGTGTTTCTCCCAGTAGCTTTGAGGGGAAGGACTGTTCTTTGTTTTCAGCTTACTGGAGTTGAAGCTTGATGATATATTGCTTCATCATTTGCTCAAGGTATCTAGGTGTGCTGTTTTGCCCAGTGGTTGTATGTGCAGGACCATAGTGTGAACATAAATGATCTTTGTACCATACTTCAGCCCGTAACCAACTTATGCTGTTGTAGGTTAGATGTAACAGCTGAACAGAAATAGGCAGATAGCAGCAGAGCTATGATGCACCAACTTGATGAATGCTTGGCATTGTATAACACAGCAGGCAGCAGAGTTTGCTTTTACCTGTGAGCTTGCAGTGAAATTGCATGTGACAGCCTTATTCCTGTCCAGTATACAAACTAGGTGGGGGGGGAAAAGTGAATAGTTGAAGTTAGGACCAAAGGGAACTTCATGAAATTATCTAGGCCATCCCTCAAAATCAAGGCAAAATGAAGTCCACCTGTATCTTTTCCCAGAGATGTTGCTAACAGGTTGGATAAAATTATCTGATAGTGGAGCATCATTTTTAGACCATCTATTCCAGGGTTTAACTACCCTTATCTTGAGAGTTTCGTAGGCACCCTAAAGTTTTTTGCTGTGATTTAGATTAGTTATTATTTATCTTCTCCAAGATAGATGTGAAGAATGGATTGTTTCCTACTCCTTTGACTGCCTTTATATATTTGAAGTCTGCTTTCACGTTTCCTCTTGCTTTTGTCTTTAAGCTCAACAATCTCAATCTTTGTTCAGTCATTTCTCACAGACCTGCCCATGTGAGGAGGGCTTACCAGCTCTCTAATCATTCTCATTTGTTTTTCTCAGGGTCTCTCTTCCTGACCTGTCTCTGAGGCAGGGTTCAATTTTAGGTTTGTAAATTTAACTCTTGCACTTACTAGAGACTAAAGTGGAAAGTATGCATAGAGCTTCAGGAGCTGCCAAACTGGATGAGTTTCAGGTGGAATAAAATCCAGTAGAGAGGCTTCCTACCAAAGCAAGCCAGCTAGTGATGAGTTTATTCTGGAATGATGCAGGAGTTGATGCTGCTTTCTTTTACTTGATTCTAGTTTGTATAAGACTTGAAATGTGTGTAGCTGATGGACCTTCTAATCTCCTTGCCTCCATATAACTATATGGCAATGAGTTTCACAGATCAATGACTTAGTGTGCTGAACACTTTATTTTAATGCCTTCCAAATGGTTGCCTATTAATTTTAGTGGGTGTATTCATTTGTTTATATTTTGAGCATAGATGGGGGCCTTGTCTAATTTTTTTGTTCTTATGTAAAAGAAAGCAAGTGACACCAACACAACAGTAAGGGAAAGAAAATAAATAACTTGAACTTGCTCCTTATGTTTTGAGACAAGTGGGAACACTTAGAGGGGAGACTGGTTTGCGGCACATCCAGGACTAGACAGTTGTTTCAGTCATGTCCCAGAGAGCATAATTTAATAGATTGCCTTCTGCTAGATCCTTCTCTTTATTCTTTCTTGTGCCCGTCAGAGGGAGATGCCTTGGGAGGAAAAAATCTCGGCCTCATTTTCCCTATCTGTAAAACACAGTTCACATTGATACACCTCCCACAGGCGATGGTTTGCTTTGCCTTTAATGAAGGATGCTCTGGAAGAGCACAGAGTGATTGTGTGAGTACCAGCCTGTGTTGCCTGTAACTCTGCTGAAAATGGCATGTTTACAACATGCATTGGCTGAAGGCAGAGTATTTAGTGTGGAACAGGAGCTTTTACAGCCTCATCCCCAGAGAAGTGGTAGCGGCACCTAAAATATATACAGGGAGGCCTTACAATAGGAAGATAACAAGACTTCAGTGAATCAGAGTTCTCTGAGGCCATTTTTTCCTCCTTTTCTGGAGTAAAAAAACTTTTCCCTTAAAAACACTTTAGCTGAAGTAAGGAGCCATAGGAGAGACTTAAAGGAATTTTGGAATGGGAGAATTGTCTTACTCTCTATAGCAAGGCGAAATCTACACATGTCAGGGCACACATCTGTCCTTCAGCAGCTTAGAACAGAAAACAAGAGGCATCAAACTAGACAGAACTGCTAACTAAGCCTATTCTATCTATTTTTATGTATTATTTTACACACGCTAACTAGCGAAGTACTCATAAAGATGGCCTGTGGAGATGTAAAAAGTTTGGCTGATGCTGTTTTCTGCTTCATACGAAAGTGTTTCTTTTTCAGGTTTCTTTCTCTTCCAAGTTTGACTCTTAAGCCAGGTGTCTGGGATGTCATGTCTAGTCTTCATAAGTTTTGGAGAAGTTGTTGAAGGTCTCGGGAATGTGCAGTTTTGAGCTTCCACAAAATGTAGTTGTTTTTAGAACAGAGATCCCTAAATGAAGTTCACTTCCTTCCACATAAGGCCAGAGCCTTACATGTAGAGAAGCCAGAGCCAGACTCATCTCTCGTTTACTGTAAATGTCAGAAGGCAGACAAGTTGCACCAAGGGAAATTCTTATTAGATATTGGGAAAAGAATTCTCACCCTGAGGATGGTCAGAGAGTGGAACAGGAGCCCACTGATATTGTGGGATCTCCATCTCTGGAGATGCTAAAAACTTGACTGGACAAACCATGGCCCTGCTTTTAGCCAGGGGGTTGGACCAGAGATCTCCTCCATCCGAAGTTATGCTATGACTTTGTGTGTGTCAATTATTTAGTTGTCAGGAGAAAATACAGAGCAAAGAGCTTTAAACAATCAAAATTATTTCTCTTCCTTAGTCCCTTTCTTTGTGAATCTTTCGGCTCTCCAGTTGCCTGCCGTTCAGGGCAAATGCTGCTTGAAGTTGTTAACGTGAAAAGTTGTGGAACGTGATCAAGGTGGAACTTTAAGTTAAAATGCTAAGTTCTTGCAGACTTCCTTCATTCATGGCTTTGCACAGAGCAAACTAGGTAATCTCTCTCAGTACTGGGGTTATAACTCAGGACTTTGACTCCCAGTGTTATGCTCATTCTATTATGCTGTGCCTCTGCCAGAGCTTTGCTGCATGTTTTGTAACTTATGGCAAAGGTGGTCTTTCTCTCTGAGACAGGATGGAAACAAAGAGGGAAAAGTGTGTCTTAGCTGTGATAGAAAGGCAGGGACTAACTCCAATATTTAGAAGAGCTGCAAAAGTAAAACTAAGTGACTAAAGCCCCACTGATAGTCGCAGGGCTGACAGAGATTCGAATCAGAAACTGCTATTGACAGAGACTTGTGAAAAACTTGGTGGGCTTTAGTGGTTGGAGTAGAGGGTGAGTGCTTTACAGGTATAGTTAGACTGTTATCTATTATGGACGAAGCAGGAGTAGGAAGAATCTCTAAGCTGCAGCAGCAGGAGCAAGGACCGCAGCCTGTCCGACTCTTCAGCGTGGCTCAGCTTATGTGGCTCATGCAGGACTTGTTTTTGCCTCTCTGCAGATGAGCACCGGCTGCACAGTGGCAAGCTTTGTCTGATTATCCTGACATGCATAGCAGAGGTGACTTTCCTGTGTGACACTGTTCAGCAGGTGGTCTCTCTACACTGCCCTGTCTGCATGTCTATTCCCTGTTTCCTGTTGACGAGGAGTTGAAGACTTACAGTGGTACTGAGTAATGAGGGCCTGAGGCAATTGCACCAGGCTTATCAGCAAAATGTAATGTTGTTAAAATTGAGTTGAAACTTGAAAACCGATGATCTTCAGAGAGAGAAAATAGTTAAGAGTTGTTGAGAGACCTTGTGATGTTACAGGCTTTTTGAGTAGTTGAGCTAGTGGCTTTCAACTCTGTGCTGTTCATAGCAAACATGGGCACTGTCATATCCCATCTGTCTAAGGATACGTGTCTGAAATAAAACTGTTTGGCAGGTTGGTCCCTGCAAGCAAGAGTAACAAATCTGGTGGTGGGGAGGGAAATCAGTATCGCAGGGCTGTGTCATTAGCCCTGACTGAAAGTGGTCCTGTTTCATGTCTTCCTCACACATCTCATGGGAAGTGTATACGATAGCTTGACTGATGTCCTGAATGGTGACTGAGTCTGTGTAGTGTTCATGTTTTGCTTGCGAGCAAGCAAAAACCCTTGATTAATAGTAAAGAATAAAAAGCAGTGAAGTTGATAGCCAATGCAAGAATTCTGAAGTAACTTTTTTTTTTTCAGGGTGCAGTCTAAAAGCTAATAATCTTTGTTTCAAATATTTATAATTTCATGTTTTTGGTACCTGAATATTCCAGGCAGATGTGCAGATAATGGAAGATAAGAAGTACTGCTCCTACATAGCAAGGGTGTGGTTTTTTGGCTCTGGTATTAAAAGGAGGGTATATTTATTACACATCCTGGCTGTGCATTATCCAGAGATCAGTGTGAATTAGAGCTGCACTTGGAATGAGATTTGCCTGATGGGTGGGATGGCTGATTTTGACCTACTTACTGCCTGTACTGCAGTAACTTCTGGCATGATAGGGTCCATCAAAATGCCGATATAAACCTTTCTCCTTGCTTTGTCACAGGGATACTTGTGACACCTCATACATTATGCAGCACTTGTTTAAAATCTTGATGCTGTGGTATGTGCAGTCCAGAGTTTGGATGAACGAAGAAGAGAAATGGAAAATAAATTGCTAACAGAACAACCAGTAGTGCAGACTTTAGTTAAAGTAGAGTTGGGGGCAGAAGGGGTTAATTTCTATCCCCCACCCCCACTGGAGGTATAGGTAGGGAACAGAGAGGTGACAAGTGGCTGCTTAACCTCATAGCTACTTATTGAGAGTTTTGCACTAAAACACTTGTAATGCAAGAGGCAGATGGAAGGTATTGGACAGTTTGCTGTTTATCTCTTCTCCCTTTTCTTGCCCTTTCCAATAGGATCAGTACGCTAATGCTTTCTTGCATGATGACAACATGAATTTTCGAGTAAACCTACACAGAATGGTGAGTCTTTTCCCACAGATGCCTTGCTTTCTCTTCAGGATAAGAACAGAGAGGATCTGAGTTTCCATATGTTGAAAACTGTGCCACAGACACCTAACCTAGATTGCTAAGGCATCTGGAAATCCCATGAGAAAAGCAGTACTGGGGGAATGATCTTGAGATCGCTCCTTGAACGTCTCTTTCAAAGAACAAAGAGCTAGTGCCGGTGCTGGCTAATTCAGTGGTCTCTGTTAATGATGATCCTTGAGACAGGTCTGGCCAGTGTAGCTAGGGAGAAGCTGTGTGATTTAAGGTCTCTGAGGAAGTCAGTGACAGAGAAGGTTCTGCCCTAACCTTCAGCAGACGTTAGCCCTCATGTCAAATATTAATAGCCAGCTGAGTTGCACTGAATGCTCTGATTGAGCTAATGCTTACTCTTGGGTGGGTGATTCATCTTCAAGGAAGAAAGTATTTTTTCCAGTCTTTCCCTATTGGATATCTATGGAGGAAGTGGCCTTACCTGGCTCATGAAGCTCTATAGTGGCAAGTAACTGAATGGTTATCCTGACTTGATGTATTCTCCCTTGGCGGTACTGGCAAGTTCCACCTCATCTGACAGCGGAGCAATGCTTGGAATTGTAACTAGTCCAGGACAGAATGAAATTTCTTATTTTAAAGTGAACGTACAGCGAGGGTGGTAGTCCTTCCCGCTTAACAACAAACTGACCATTCAAAAAGCCTTTGGTCTATTACAACCAAGACTGAAAGCATTTAATAGTGTATCTGCTATTAAGATTGCAAATCATACTGCTGGGTCAGGAGCAAATCAGTACATTAAGCAAGGGGGAGGAACTGCTCTGTGACTTCCTGTCCTGTAATGTGACAATGCCCTCCAGTTGCACAGTTAGAATAACCAAAACCCAGCTGTCAGCCTGCTGAAAAGCAGGCACACTTTGCTCCAGCCATGGCCTTCAGGATTAATATCGGTGAGATAGCAATTGAGAAAAAGATAAAGGAAAGTATATGCTCATGGTAGTATTTGCATGAAAAATAGACGGAAATAAACAGCATGTCATTTCAGCCTTCTCCTGTCTTCTTTTCATCTTTGTACATTCCAAGCCAATGAGACACAGGAAGAAGGCAGCAGACAAGAACCTGCCCTGTCGCCCGCTGGTGTGTGCGGTGCTGGGTGAGTGGTGTTGGCACCTGTATGCTTGTGGTTCCCAAAGCATATTTTGTCCTGCAATAGGAATAGGTGATCTGTGGCTTAAGGGGAGGAGCAGATGGCCTTAGAAAAGAGATCCAAGTCCTAAGGAGGTTTCCAGCAGTGGACAGTCCATCCTTATATCTGGGTGCCTTACAGAGAAATTAAATAGCAAGATTCCTGCCCTGTAGAAAGGAATCCTATATATATATTTACAGGAAGTTTTGCAAAAGCCTGTAGGCCTCCTTTTACCTGAATAAATAACAATGGAGAGGAGAGTTAATGAGTACATTCAGTTTTAAGTGAGTGTAGTAACAGTTGGTCACAAACACTTTCCAGATGATATAACGAGGGCAGGCCTATGGAAAGGATGGATATTTGATGGTGATGGCATTTACTGGGTGCTTTCCCTTTTCTGAGCAGAGAAAGAAGAATAATGTCAGGAGCTGAGGTTGGTTTCGCCTGTGGATGTGGAAGCACAGTTGAAAGCTTTTCACTTAGTGCATGATTAAATTGTAAAATTCATTGCTGTGGAGGCCAAAAACATAAATTAGTACAGAAAAAGATGGAGACTGGATCCCTGGATGGCTGTTAAGCCTGATGATACAGATGCAGTTTCTGACTCCAGCATTTTCAAGCAGATGATTTTGAAAGCCAGGATAGAACAGCAAGGGGAGAAGAATCTTTCTAGACTTGACAGATTTTTTTGTACTCTTTAAAAATTTCCCTAAATATCTGGTTTTGGACGCTGCTGAGCTATGTTACTGGGTTGTTTGGATCCTAGGAAGTTGCATTTTAGCTTAACTCAGGCTTGCGATAACAATTGTAATGTGTTTTATGCTGAAGGTATGTTGGGCAAAGAGCGTACACATATATTCAGTTAGCACTTAATAGCTGAACCATAGAAATATAATTGAAAGAGATTAAGTTACTGTATTCTTTGCCTCTCATCCACATGCTGGGATCCCTTAAACGTTCAAGTGACATTCTCAGGTTTTCTGCTGAATGAATCTCAAGGAGAAGCTTAGACTGTATTGAGATCAGACTGCCTTTCCTTGCTTCGGAGTTAATTTTATGGATAAATGGGTGTTCTCTACAAAACCTTCTCTACAAGTAAACCTCTGAATTGTATGTGGTTTCTGGCAAAAGTCACTTTCTAAAATGCATTTCTTAATGGAATTTCCCATTCCTGACCAGGCTTGAAATTCAAGAGCAACTCTAAGTATCAGAATAAGTGGTGTATTCTTTATTTGATTAATAGTGATGGGAAAGCATATGGGGAAAGCAGTGCCTTAAAGCAAATTGCATTATATGCCCTCAGCTTCCAACAGAGTATGTGCGCTTTTCTCTTTTAATTCCAGAAGATGTCTAATCCTTCCCCCCTCCCCCCCCCAAAAAAAAAGAAAAAAAAAAAAAGAAAAAGGGGCAGGGGAAGATTTTTCTCTCTTCTTACCAGGACTATTGTCTGGTCGGTAGGCAGGGTAGTTTGACTTCCTCATTGTTGTCTGCCAGAACTTAACTGTAGCTAGCTCTACACTTACTTTATCATTTTCTTTTCTGTTTTAGATTTGATGGTGGAGTTCATTGTAACACATATGATGAAAGAATTTCCAATGGATCTATATGTGTAAGTGTCCGTGGGCTGACTCATAGTTTCATTGGAAGTTTGAATTTGGAGTCTCACTGTATAGTGGTCTTCTGACTGAAATAATATTTCTGTGGCTGATGGGGAGCTGGATGGTTTTTCATGAAGTTTTCCAGTCACTTTTTATACTTTTTAAAATGGTCTGTGTGCCAGAAAATTGAAAACAAAATGAATTTCTACCTTCCACACTGACTTCCTAATCTACTTGATCAAATACAAAGGACTTTGAATTCATAAATTTCACAATAGACGCTCATTGCAAGAATTCCTGCTTTCAAGAAACTGAATCTTGCTCTGGAAACTGAAAAGCCAGTTTTAAAACACCAAGTACATCTAATCTGAGGCCTAGAAGGCAATGTGGAGAACGGGAGAGAGACTTACTTCAATCTTGAAATAACTTTCTAGGCAGGAAGAGTAAAATTTAGCACTGGGGAAAAGGGAAGGATAAGATGGGGCTACACATGAGCACCCTGTGTCCCACAGGGCCTGCAGAATGCTTTGTTCTGCTTTTGTCTGGAGGGCAAAAATAGGATTCAGGCAGATCATTGGCTTTGCTCTAACTGTTTGCACAGTGCTGAATTTCCCCAAGGCTTAAGCAGCGCTATATTCAATAGAAAAGAGGCAAACCATAGACTATTTTTCCTTAAGGTAATTTTTCAGCGTGGTCTGACTTTGCCCAAATAAACCCAGAACTGCAGTGCTTTTGCAAGGGTTATATAGTTCAATTAGAAGTTTGTGAGAAATTATTTTTAATGACAGTTACAGAATTAGTTGTAGGTGCGTTATGCTTTGGAATTTCCTGAGGAAGGCGTGACATGTTTGGGCTCAAAGGTAAAGTCACATCTAGAAACCTCATAGGAGTAAAAATAATGAGCAGTAGCAACCATCAGTGGACACTGGTATCCATTCCTTTTGGCATGTTTATGTAGTTCTCTCATTACCTTCCTGTCTGAAACCATGCCGTAGCAGACATGGTTATTGCCAACAAGGTGAGTGTTCTGCATGCACAAATAGCGTCATACCTCTCTGCAATACATTTAAAAGGTGACAATCTGAGACTGCTCAGTGGAGGGCATATTAATATTTACAAGAGAAATTCACGTTGCTTTGACCAAGGGTGGTTTGTCTGCTATGTATATTATGAATCCTCAGCACAAAGCTTAAGAAAACAAAAACTCCCAAGATAGCAGTAAGGATGAATTGCATCACTGAAGTGGTGTGGCTGGGGAGTCTGTAGGCCTGGTTGCTGGTGAGCTGGTCCCACAGGGAAGGATGCTAGAGCTGTTATGTCTTTCAACATCCCTTTTTTCCATACCTTGCTTTCACCCAGAGATGTGCTATGCAACCAGTACCTTTCAATGACAAAATATATCTGCAGAGTATGTTGCACTAAGGGCTATTGTAATTGAAAAGGAATGTTTTAGCTGTTGCCACATTCCCTCTGGTCACTGCCTTAAATAGCTTTTTGCAGAGGCCACTTCTGATCTTAAGGCCAAGCAAATATGTAGGTGGAAAGGTGCTAGGGATCATCCAGTACCAGTAACATCAGAAATGATAGCGCTCTCTCTGGAGTGATTGCTGTCCCCAATCTGGACACAACTGTCTGTGCTAGCCCGGTTGTTTTGCTTTCTTTTCTTGGCTGAATTTATGAGAACGCAGTGTAGAATACCAGCATTCAGGGTGATGCTCGGCTACTGTAAATATTTTAACCTTAGTCTCTTTAAAGTTAGGAATTTCAGTCCTTACCCCATCATGATATTTTTAGGATTATCTAAGGGTCTGTTGAGATGAATGTATACCAGATGCATATTATTTTTGAAGGCTTTTTTAAAAGCCTTATTTTGAACCCTTCACTCTATTTTGAATAATTTCCGAGCAAACTTTTTTATTTGGTTTCTATGTGGTTTTGTCTGATATACACTGTTTCAGTAGTGGCTTTTCTGAGACGTGTTGATATTAGTAAGATAATGTGTTTTTGAGAAATAAGAATTTGAAAAAGAATTTTTTCCTTTTTGTCTTCCTGCTGTTTTTCTAAATGTCAATAACTAAAAATGGCTTGGTCTACAAAATTCAAATTTGGATATATTTTCTATCTTGTCCTTCATGAGAGCTAGAAATTACTCCATTGCATATTTAGTTCTGATATTACAGGAAGAATGTGCACCTAGGAGTTTGTTTAAGCACTAGGTGTCATAAAGGCCTGCAGGATTTGGAGACTTCGTAAGTATATTAGCTGTCTGTTGGAGGATTTCAGAGTTTGCAGGTGTGTTGCATTTCTAAGCTCATACTTAAACACTTTGGTTAGGAGCCTGAAAAGCTGTACAGAAGCCTGCCCTCCCCCGCAAATAATTGAACTGTAAGCCTAATTCAATGAAATTACAAATCCTGCAGTTATTAGTTTCACTGTGTAACTTCCTTTAGCCTCATCCCTATGACCAAAGAAATGGAAAAGCTCTGCTGTGACCGTATTTTGCAAAGTCTGAGAGCAGTATCTCATACGTATGGAGCTTGCAAACCAAGTAACTCCTCTTGTTGAGTATATGGGGTCCTTGTGCAAGGTCAGCAAAGTGTGAAAAATATTAATCAAATATAAAAACTCCAGCCTGGAGAAGAGAAGATTGAGAGGCGATCTCATAAATGTGTACAAGTATCTGAAGGGGGAGTGTCAAGAGGATGAGGCCAGCCTCTTCTCCGTGGTGCCCAGCAACAGGACAAGAGGCAATGGGCAGAAACTGAACCACAGGAATTTCCATCTGAACCTGAGGAAAAACTTCTTGACTGTGAGGGTGACAGAGCACTGGAACAGGTTGCCCAGAGAGGTAGTGGAGTCTCCTTCGCTGGAGCTATTCAAAACCCGTCTGGATGTGATCCTGGGCAATATGCTCTAGGTGACCCTGCTTGAGCAGGGCGGGTGGACTAGATGATCTCCAGAGGTCCCTTCCAACCTAAACGATTCTGTGAAAACCAAAGGATGGCCTTCTTGCATCTGTAGTCTGTCCTGTTATGGCGAGTTTAAACTCGCCATACAGGCTCTGTTCTTTGGTCTTTCTCAGACCTGATTCTCAGTCTGGTTCTTTCTCATGGGTATCACTTCCTTCTGGGAGCTCAGGACAGTGAGTCACCTCTTCTCTTAAGGTTTGAATTTATCAGTTTCCTGCAAAAGATAAATCTGCTAATTTCCAAGACATTTCCAGGTCTGATGTGGAATTTCTGGGAAAGGTCGTGATCAGCATGAATGCTTTGCCCTTTCTTTTTTCCAGGCGGTGTATTCAGATTGTGCACAAGCTGCTCTGCTACCAGAAGAAATGCAGAGTGAGGCTTCATTACACCTGGAGGGAGCTCTGGTCAGGTACTTTGGGCTTTTTATATTTGGATCATCTCTGCTGATTCAAGGAGTGGCTGTCTGGTGGCCAAGACCTTTTGTTCCATTGCTACAGGGTTAAACAGTAAGCAGCAATTCTGTTAAATCATCTTTATTTTGCTTTTCAGTTGCTACATGCAAATTGCCTCTTTTAGAAAGCCAGGGTATTATCATAATGGTAGCTAATTTGCTTTCTTGTCTGGCTATGATCACCATGGTATCCAAGCGTCTTTGTTTCTGTTGCATTACCTGAGTCTCTCTTCATCTGATTGGAGCGAGAGACATGTTCTAGGCAATAGTGTTTCTCCCCCAGACACTTGAGAGTAGATAGGAAGTAGACTCTTAGGTAGGTCTACCTTAGGAGGGTAGACTTTTTTTTTTTTTTTTTAACTGGAGCAGCTGGATATAGGCAGAAGGGTGTGTGCAGCCTCTTCCAGGGAGAGCAACCTACAGTTGTCAGTGGGAAGGAAGAGAGTTTAACTCTGACCTTTGCACTGATTGCAGGCAGTGCAGTTTATGCCCCTGATATCCCTAGGGTAGATAAGTCTTACGGGGTTTTACTTGTTTGTTATAATCTCGTGGACATAGCATTGTATGACTGTTGTATGGCACAATCACTGTGTGGGAGGTCTGAGGAAGGGAGTAGCAGAACGGATGATGAGACCTAACAGGCTTCTTTCATACGCTATAGCGTGTGCTTTTGTTCTAATCTTGCAAGCAGTGAAGTAGCTCAGCTCAGAAAGTACAGTTAATCCCTGAGCAGTTGTGGCTTAAACAAGAGGTTTATGAAAATGTAAGGGAGCATGGCCCTAGCTGTATGTCTCTGGAGCTGTGCTTAAGGCTGAAGATCAGTGACTTCGCTGGTGTAATGCAACTCCCATCAGAAATTTGAGAGCAAGGATGACTATTGAAAAAGGCTGTGATAAGTGGTTTCTGAAGCTGTTCTCAATTAACACTGAGTCCTTCCCTTCGGTAGCTTTGCGCAGCTGAGTGTAGGTACAGGGAAGTGAACCAACAATCTGAGTCAGTTTCAGTCATTCATTTTTTGCCTTTTGTGACATGTGGCTATTTCAGGCTTTCTAAATGATTCCTGTAGAAGGTGAAGTGGGTGCCCCTAATTAAGAGATTAGCAAATTCTTTTCAGTTGCTTTCTTCAGAACAGAGCCCCTAGAGGCATGGCTGCAGTGCAGTACTGGCTCAGGAGGGGAGCAGGTACAATGTGGAGGTCTGTTGTGAATAGAAATTGCATCTGGCAATGTGTGTGATCCCTTTTCAGCAGTTACAGCAGAAGTGCATCCATTTATATTTGACCAGGGCCAGCTAGGGCTTTCCTCCACAATGGCGGTATGGAATTCTCAAATATAATGTTTTCTGCTTGAAGATACTATTCCACAATTCGGAGAGCATACTCTTAGGCATCTTTCAATCCTTAACCTTTACCTTTTTTGCGGGGGGAGGTAGGGAGAAAATCCTCGCTGCACGCTGACATTTACTGTCCTGGGATGTTCTAGTTAGCTATCTCTAATTAGCTGGTGTTTGTATAGTGCTTAGGAAATGTAAAGTGCCTTAGAAGCTGTTAAGTACTGCACGTGCTCTGAAAGCAAAGCAGTAAAGTAAAAAGCACCCAGGTTGATGGAGTTCCTGCAAGGGACAAGGAATGTCTGCATACCTGATGTAGCTGAAGAGCTCCACGCTTGCTGTAGATTTCTGCTTGTCTAGGTAGATCCTCTTAGGCAGAAGAAAATTACAGTAAAACTCTTTCAGCTTTTTTTCCTGTAGGATGTTGAGGTGAGACTCTTCAGCAACGGCCAGGCTGTTTCATTCAGGCTGGAAAGGTCTTGTATTGAATAGCACGTGCACCTGTACAAGGGCACATCCTGGCTGCTCCAGGTGTATGTTTCTAGAATGCTATATGTGTCAGTCTGAAAGCTAAGCGCCAGGCCTGTCTCTAGATACACAGTGTAATTAACTCCTATCCCGTGTCAAGGCTGCTCTTTGATTCCACAGAATGTTGCCACCTTTGATGCGAAAGAATGGCTTTGTTTCTGGCAAACAGTGCTACGCTAGAATGCAGGGACTTCTGCACCCATTTCTATCCTTTATGGGTCACTGTGAACATATTCCCCTTTGGGTCCTTGCTTTGGATCAAAGGATTAGCTTTCACTTCTGGAGGAAGAGCTAAAAGGGAACAGCTACTCACTGTGAGGCCTGAGATCTTTGGTGCCCTGTCAGGTGTGCTTTACAGAAGGTCTTCAAGCCCACGCTTGTCTTGAGTGACAAAGTATGTGATGACTGAGGCAAAGTCTCTCAAATGCACTGTGGATAATAGCAACAGAGATCCCCAAGCAGAGCTGACTGGAACCAAGCAGGGGGAGGGAAATGGTGTAAGCAAGCGTTGGAAAGAAGGGAGAGAATTGTACCTGGCATGTAAGAGGAGGAAGGCTGTTTCAGGCAGAAAATTGAGTGGGAGAAATAGACAAAGGAAATGTTGTGAGGCGAGGAGGCAGTGGGGATAGGGTGTGAAGGGCTGGAGGTGCAGGTTGTGGGTGGAAGCAGCAGCAGTATATGGAGCCTTCTGTTCACTTGCTGATTCTAATGCTAGCTACGCTCTAATTAAGGAAAGCCACTAGTGTGTCATCTGATGGATAGATGCTCTTCCTTTGCGAGTGCTTTGCCTTCAGTATGGAAGGCCAGCAGCAGTGCAAGAAAACTTTTACAGTTTCTTTTTATGATGTGAGTTACAAAGATAAAGCTCTGTATATGGCAAAAAGTACATATAAGCTGGCTCTAGCTAGAGGAAGTGTGAAAATGTAGTTCTGATCATTGGAGGAGTGAGAAGCTGGAATATCCTAAAAAATAGAGCACTAAAGAGTAAAAAAGCAACAGTAAGGTGGAGTTTGATCAGCTTATCAAAATGATGACCAAGCAAGTACTACTCTAGTAGATGGGCAGTTCAGATCCAGCAGAGGCCTTATGATGATGTTTCCTGTTTAATAAAACTTCAGCAGGTTATTCACTTCACTTCAGTTAGCTGTGGTTAGTATGCATCTCCATCCTTTGATCTCTGAAGAAAATCTCTTTTTATTTATTTTTTAATGACAATCTACCATTACTGGTGACTAGGCTGGAAATTTGGCTTGGGTCAGAAGCCATAAGTGGACACAATTGTGTTTACCTAGACCCTTGTAGACACTTTTGGCCAATTTTTGTAAGTCTCCTGGACTCTTATGCCAGGCAGCTGGTGCTTGTTGGAAAAAAGGATTATTGAAGGTAAAGTATAAGGTAGTTTAGCAGACCTGATGAGGAGACTCTACTTGATAACATCCCTATTCTCACAAACATATTCTGCTTCCTGACCTCCCTGAAAACAAATTATGCTGGTCATAAGGGAGGGGCTTGGGTTTTAATTGTGGAACTATTAGTTTGTACAGCACTTGGGTGATGGGAAGTGCTATATATGTTGTTGTTGTCAAGCATATATAAGCTATGCCAAAAGAGTTTTTCTGAGTCACTTAAGCTTTTTATATAAAAGACCTCATTTCTTCAACTCCTCCTACCTCAAAATTAGTAATGCTTGAGCAATTTCCTCTGAGCTTAGGGGGGTGCAGGTAACTTCTTTGCAGTTGCTATGGTTTGCTTTAAGGGAAAGCCGTGTTTAAAGAAATAGAAAAGCAATTCTAATTTAGGTTTTTAAAGGCAAGAGTAAATCACTTAAAAAAAAAAATCTTAAGTATAGTGAATAATGATGAAAAAGCTATTTATTAGGGCAGTCAAACACAAAGGAGGATTAAAAATAGGCTTTGTCATTAGAACGCACTGAAAATCAGTTTCCACATTACGGTAAGGTAAGGGCTACAATTTCTTACCTTGTAGCTTGGTTAATTTGATAGATGCTGACCACTGTTGAAATGAAGGTACTTCAAATGTGTAGCACCATCAACAAGTCAATTTTTCTGCATTTTAAAGGTTTTTTTTCTTTAATATCAAAGCAGACTTGCAGTGATACTGGACAAAATCTACTTCTACTCTGTGCTGACTCCTTTGTTCTTTTTGTCAGTTTCTGTGTTTGTAATGTGAGGATAATATTTTTGAAACCTCTTGAAGAGGTGGAAGGTTCTTCTGTGGAACATATTAAAACAAAAACTATTTTGTTTAAAAAACATTCTATTTACGACACACTTGCTCTTATACAGTGCATGTTTCAGATGGTATCATTTAATCACTTGTGCTTTGCTTTGGTAACTCCATGGCTGAAATATCAATTACTAATAGTGTCTGTTATTTATGGCATTTCTTGCTCTCCAGTTATTGAGCGAGTTTGTTTCAGCCCTCTGTTCAGAAACATAAATCAGATTTGGAAATCAGTTAATGCTACATCTCCCTTCATCTCTGACCTTGCTGTTAGTGTAACGTTTTGCAGCAGTTATCCAGCCAGAAAAGCTGTTCTTCCTGCAGCTCTTGTGGAGACAGAATTAATACACTGGTGAACCAGCCAGCCTGACTCGCTGGCACTGGTAGAGCGCTAGGTGCCACGAGAGTCCGAAAGACTGTAGAGCTGCTTGGCCAGCTAGCAAACGACTTAGAGATTTTTCAGGAAAGGAGTTAAAGCACTAAAACTTGCCCTTTTGTAGAAGTTCTTATGTGGCTTTAAAAATGCTGCTGGGGCCCAGGATCCAACAACACTCTCTTCTGAATGCTGGTGGAGTCTTAAGAGCTCAGAGGAAGGAGTAATTTAAGAGATGCCCCACTCACTGTTCCTAATTTCTGTGCAATTAGGAATTTAAGAATATAGCACTGAAGAAATGCTTTTAGACTGTGAAGGATGTTGCAAGCATAAGAGAAGGACTTCTTCAACACGGTCAGTAACTTCAAAGGTAAATAATAGAGATCATGTGCAGGGATAGGGTAGAAGGCACAGGAGCTTGTATGTTGAGTATAAAATGCTTTAATGCATTGGTCAGGACAAAGAAAGTCTGTTTGTCTCTACA